TAATTATATGTATATATAAATATGTATATATACATATGTGTATAGGCAATAAAAAATGCGTCATCGTAAAAATAAACTTTGTGAATTATTCTTATTATTTATTCGATCACAGCCAAGTACAACTTACCTTTGCCACATTCTACATTTATATCACGCTATATATTTCGATTTACTGTAATTAACAAATACAATTAGCCCCATAACATTCCCTTTTTTATCCTTTATTTTATTAATATTACATTATACTAACTAAAATTATCATGTACTATATAAACGTATAAGGAAAGGAATTTATAAGGGGTACTCAAAATGTTATATTTATTTTTAATTTACAATTTATTTAACATATGAATTATGTCACAATTTGTCTTAGCTGTTTAATTATATATGTATATGTATATACATATATACGTATATATGTACAATTATGATAGATAAAATTAAAATGAATCTAACGTGAGAGTAATTACAGAATATTATATTTCACATAGTTTGATAAGGACAAATAATAAAAATAAACGCGGAAGCATCAATTGTGAATAATCCATGGATAAGTGATACTTCTTTATTCCTAATGAGAGGCAAATGATACAATAATTATTACATAATTCATTTATACTATTGCATTTGATCTATTAATCACTTTTGAGCTGCTTTCTTTGGTTTTAAAGTAAAGTATAAAATTAGTGCAGCCACGGCACCAAGTGTCGACATGGCTACCTGTAAGAAGAAAGATAATGCATACGAATTCCAAATTATGCAGCATCTTTTAACGATTTCTGCAGAAAATTGTATAACGTCATAAACGAAGAACAGATTTTGAGGTTACTTACATTTGCTCGACCACGTACAGTAACGCTATTATAATACTTTGAAAATCCAGTAAGTTTGGATTCTATATCTTTATCATCTGCCATTATGTTTCAATAAAGTAATTTATTTGTTTGATATATAATTTAACGTGAAGTGTCACTTATCACTTGGACTCGATTCGAATTAACAATATATATTGCAATTCTTTTCTGAGCTCCTTCGGTTAAGTTTCGACGAACCAACGCCAGAGGGCACGTATTACATCCGGTGATATCAAAAATCGTACTCACATATAACTTTTATTTTAAAAATTTCTCAAACAATTCTAACTATTTGGCCATAAATATTTATTAAATACTACAACTGGTATAAACATAAATTACATATATTTTATATTATTTAGGAAAATACATTATTTAAACGAAAAGAATAACAATAATACAGATTGTATAAAACATATATAATTCGTATTTTGTTACATACATAAGTAATTCTTATATTTATTTTCTTAATAAGTAACAAATAAAAAGAAAACTAAGAGCAATATGTTTCTTACATATGTGATTCAAATGTTACTAATTCAACTTAATAATCAAATGTAACACTTACTAATAACGCAAAAGAATGTTAAAAAAAAAATTGTTTGCATGGTTCATAATATCACACTGGTCACATAAAATTGTTAGAAATATGTTTGTTCACTTTTAATATGCTGCTCCAATTGTCTATAAGCATTCACGATCAGCTGGAAAAGAGCCGAATTATACACATAACGTACATAAAACATTATACTTTTAATGTATTAATATCATTCTAATATTTACCCAAATTTTATGTGAAATTGAACCATTTGTAAATTTTTCATGTATAAAGTCTCCAGTGACATTCTTTTGTGAAATAATATCCAATATATGTAATCTTTGTATTGCTGACTTTAATGATATTAAACGGAGTTTTCTAGTGTCATTTATTACGTCTTGTGTTGCCTTTGGCAATATACTAGAACAGAAATTGTTTTTCACATCCTTTGAAGATAAGGTATTACTTTTAATAACTAAGTTGAAATAATTACCTGTTACTTTTAAAAAATTTTATTAGATACTTAGATCTATCAATGTCTTTAAAGTCTGCACATACACCAAGTATATGCAATACATTTTTCATTTGTAAAGTTATTTCAAATTCAGTAAATATTTTTACAAATTCGTCCGCTAACAACCATCCTTCTCCTTGATAATGAAATACATGTGCTATTCCATTAGGTAGTTCTAAACAAATTATAAAGGAATTATTCCTACAAACTATAAAAGAATATGTAATTAACTGAATAATATGTTATAGTAAAACATACCAAATGATTGAAAGAATATTGTATAATTTGAAAATAGATATTCTGGTATGTTTGTATCTTTCCAAACAGTCTGTAACTCATGATCTTTTGAATACACAGATGTATTCAGATGTGTTAAATGTCTTTCGTTAATATTTGCATTATCTGTGAATGCAGAGGTTTCTGAACTATAAGTGGAAGGCAATAAAGTGGAAGAACTGAAATTATGTGTATCATAATTTGAAGCGAATGTAAAATTTCCATTCATAACTTCACAGCTGGAAGTTTTGGTCGGGCATTTCGTTGATGGTGAAAAACAATCTTTTTCAATATCTGCTTTATGAACATTATATTGTTTAAGTTGGCCGCCGATATTAATTTTAGACATTCTGTTAGTAACATCATCTATATTCCAGTTATAATTTAATACGAATGGATTATTTTGAACAGTGTTAATGTTATTTGAAGACTCTGTACCAAAGCATTGATAATGATTAAATGATGTATCTTTACCATCATCTAAAATATTGTAGTTTGTACACTTAGCATTGAAGTCATTACTTTCAAAATTTATAAAATCATGTTCAATAACAGGTTTACTATTTGTGCATAAGTAATCTTCTTCTTGGTAATCAGGTATTTGTAATTTACCTGCTAAGCTAAGTCTAAAAGGGTTAGTTTCTTTCAAAGGCATATTATTATTTGTTGAATTTTCTGTAGGTATAAGCAGATCAGTGCTATTATTTGCAAAATAATTTTGTTGGTCTGACTTGGAACTCTTAACAAATTTTTCATATCCTGGAGGAATACTTGACACTACTGGTGCCTTTTGGTCTTCCAAACATTGACTCGCCATATCAAAGACAGAATTTGTAGACATTATAGAATTAGAATTTATTTCACTGATTTTTTTAATTGCACTCTGAATATTAGTATTTTGAAGAAGATCAGTATAACTACTTAAATCATAGCTTCTATTGTAGGAAGTAGTGGTCTGTGCTTGTTGATTTGTAGGAGTAAATGCAAAATGTTTCGTAGGACATTCAACATTTGCAAAATCCTTATTTATACCAGTATTTTTACCACTGTAAGTATTTAAAGTTGAAGGAACAGTTTCTCCACGTGTATTTATATTTGTGTTTATGGAATCTATAGTTATTGGAGTTTGTTCCTTATTATGTAAAAGTATACTTTTGAGAAGTAAATTAAGTGCTGAAGTTATTTGCATTTGTAACATCAAATTCTCAGTCCACAACTGCATAAACTTTTGCGAATTTCTGTTGCCTTTAATTTGATTATGCACAGGTTCATCTTGTAAAAATGGATTGGCATTATTCTTAGTAACGGTAAACGTAGTAGGTACTGAATCATTTTGAAAAATTTGATCTGGAATCTCTTCTTTTGGTGGAAACTCTTTCTGTTTATTACATGACATGAATTCAAATGAAGGCTTGAACAGTTTATCATCCATCAAGGTACTTTGTGGTGATATCAAGGGCACATCGATAGCCTCTTCAGATGAATCTTTATTGCAATCAGACATGATGGTTTCCTCTTCATAACATCGCTCGGGTAAAAATATTAAATTTTCCTCCACATAAATCAATAGATTATTCATATCAACTTTGTCTAGCTAATTAGAAGAATATAAGAAAACGTATCAATTAATGTTATAGTAAACACATATATTTACTTAATAATATGGGCATGTTTTTTAAATTAATTTGTTTGGGAAAAATGATCACTGATAAAGAAAACAAAATAAAAAATAAATTGTTTTATCATACTGAATTTAAGCAACTGCAACAAGTAAATACATACCAGCACTGCATAATAAAAGTGTCAATTTGCAAAAAACTAAACTAAAAACAAAGAATAAATTAGTTTGATTTGTAGAAATTGTAAAAACTGAATTCTTTTAATATAAAATATGTTCCATTAAAATCTAAATACTTATACCATTCAATATTTATTTTCCTATGATCTTTTTGCATTAACTTTGCTTTATTCAATAACACTCGATTCTTTGAAGATTCTTGAATCTTTTACTTCTGAACTCGTTTCAAAACCTTTACATGTTGAATTTCTGAGAATTTTCTGTTTCATCAACGTTTAAATAGACTTTGTGATTGAAAGCACTGTCTGAGCTTATAATTTCATAAGCATCATCTTCTACATTTCTACATGTTTCTATACTGTTCACATTCTCTACTGAATTTTAATTATTTATTTCTATAATTTTCTGGTCTTCCTGATTGAATTGATCTTTAATATTCTTACTATAAGAACAATTGCTTTTAAAAAGATCACATACATCACTGTATGATACATGGGAATCCCACTCTTCTTCATCAGACTTTATATCAGTATCATTAAAAACTGGTATACTGGATGTTTTTTGTACTATATCAAATGACACTGATTCTTTAACTGGTACTATTTGCATTTGCGTCGGTTCTTTAATCAATAATGATTCTTCTGTACAATTTGAACTCTTTATTGAGTTTGATTCTTCTGTTAATGTTGATTGTTGCATTGGTATTGGTTCAACTGATAGTTCTTCTGCTAATTCTAAATTTTTTGTTAATACTGACGTTTTCGATGAAGTTACCAAAGTTTCTTTTCCACATATCTCAAAATTGTTAATCATAGTTTTAAATGACTTCTGTGCATGCAAGTCTACGATTTCTGTTTCCACAGAATGGGAAAGACATGTAGGAACAACCTTTAAATAAGATTCAGTCAATATATTCTCACGGATATCTACATCATTTTCATATTCGTCCCTTCTAAATTCCTCATCACTATCAATATTTAGTTCAAATGATATAGATTTTTCTGAAGTGCTTATATCGTCCGAATCTAGATTTGAAATGTTACTTGATGCATCTTGTAATGATAATAATTTCTTCAATAATGTTTGTTTGGAAGTAAGTGCTTGCATACAAAAATAATTCACCTTGTAATCTTCTGAATCTCTTTCGAAATTCTTAGTACAAGATATTTCATTACTATTTGTGTATTTAAAATTATCAACAGTTGGGTTATTGATTTGCTGCAATGAATGAATGGATTGCATATGATTCATGTTTTTAGGTGTATTAGGCGATTGTATAGAAGACTTTTTTCCTACTGACATATTTAATATCTTTTTAGGGATAGCAATTATCATATCATTCTTAACACTTTTTGTATCCCTTTTAATATTTTTTAACATTAATGGAGATACATAATCCGTTTTATTAATGTTTCCAGTTGGTGACCAATTTATATCTTTATCTTGTACAGCAAAATAAGAACTGTTATATACTGCATTCAAAAAACAATTTTCAGCTAATAGTATAGTGTCTCGTTTTTTAAAAATTGTTTCATAGGGTATTTTGTATTTATCTTTTTGTAATACACGTTCTTTTTCTTGTACTGCATTTTTCGAAATGACAGACCAATCTATACATTTTATTTCATGTTCTTCATTTTTCTTATTAGTTCTCATACAACTAAAGTCTAACTCATTATCTGAATCTTGTATATAAAAATGATTGGCGTATTGTTCTGGAATGTTACTATAGTTTATTGAAAAATATTCTTTTTCTAATATTTCACTACTCTTTCTGTCACTGGCGAATACAAAATTAGCAAACAAAGTATCAGATTTGGTATTATCACCTTGCTCATTATCATAGCATAGATTTTCAGATTCTTTATATGATTCTTGTTCATTCTGTGTACTTAATGCCAAACTAGAATTCAACAACTCATTACTTTCTATATTAATTTCTTTAGAGTGATCAGATTTCTGTCTAAGATGTAATAATTTCTTGTACAAAGATTGAAATTTTCTAGGAGTTCTCTTTTCCGAATTTTGTGTACAATTATATTCAGCTTTTTCAATTGAAGTATCATTAGAAAAATATTCTTTCTTATCACTCACTTTGTTAGAATTATCCTTATGGGATAACCTTTCACCAGAACTTGAATTACACAGTGCTGGTTTTATTTTACAAATATCGGGTATTTTCAATAAGTGCTCGAAACGTTTTTGACATTCCAAGTAATATTGAAATGTAAAATTTCGCTTTTTCATACAAACCATTTTTCCATGTTCTGCTAGTTTTTCCTCAACTAACCAGTCGTTAATATGAACATCGTCCTCTCCTAATGTATTAGTCAAAGTTACCATCATTGAATTATCCTGTAATAAGAAAAAAATTATTTATTAAAGTACTAATGATTGTATAAAATAAAATGCACACTATCTAAGCTTTAAATATGTTTACTTCTGTATTAATAGAGGCAACTGTTGCAATTAGTGGTATCTGGGATGTTTGAACTGCAAACAGATGAGTAGCATTACGGGACCACTTAGATCCTTTGTATGGTCTTACATTGATTAAACCACATGGTATTGCTTGTGCTGGTAGATAAGAAAACTTTCTATGCAAGTAATATACTGCTTCTGGAGAATATGTTTTTAGCGTGCCATAATCATAAAAGAGGACCTGCAATAAATTGTTACCAATAATAATTATTACATTGTGTACAAATAACAAGACTCTAGTCAATGCCATACACCTACAACAACTTGAAAATCTGGCTTCACAGTTTTAATTATAGCTCTATGCCATATTCCATTGTATATACATGCACAATTTAAACCCTTTTCTAGTACAACTGGTGGAATTATGAATGACTCATAATTCATTGCATAAAAATTACTGAAAAAAAAAAAAAAAAAAACTCTTATTATATTACAGTTGTCTAATCATAATTAAAAGAATTGTTTACTTTGATTATACATACTGTAAATCATCCATAAACTTTTTAAACGTTTTTAGTTTTTTACGAAGTTGTATCCAAAAGAATGTTGGAGTGAATACTTCTATAACAACAACTTCTATGTGCTCCTGAATCTCTACTAAATCTGCAACATTTAAGTACCCTACACATTCTCCCATGGTCATTACTTCATCTGGTATTAACTTCTTGCATGTATCAAGTGACTAAAAATTTAAGATTATTGGAGTAACATTGTCAAACTTCAAGAAACAATTAATGGAATCCTTGTATAATTTAAACAAAGAGTTTTTACCACCGTTACTGGGAGTGCTTCTTCATCATTTATTTCATAAGTGTGATGCAATTGATTGAGATTGATAGCTTTTTGCTTCTTTTCTGTTTGATTTAAAGGTACTTCTCTTTTGGCATAATAAAGCTTGAAATCCCCTATATTATCATGAGGTTGTATACAATGAAAAATTTCAGGTAATTGTGATGCAAATTCTCGAACACTGTTGAAACCAAGTTCTACATAATTTAGAGAAACTTTATATTCTTCTAAATATTGATCTGGTAGATTAGCACACCAAATTCCATCAGGATGATTCTGTATAAGTTTTTCCAAACGAAATTTCACTCTTTCATTTATAAGTATTTCAACATTTTCCTTATGTGAATAATTTTTTACATCCTCTCTTTTGTTATTATTGAATTCCATCTGATTTTCAACACTATCGTTACAATTGAATGATTTATATGAATTACTTTGTGTATCTTGTATTATTGGTTCATGTTTGGTTACTTCATCTTGACATTTAGTTATAGTTTCCTTTATAAAGGTAGGTGTATTTTTTGCTGTTTCAATTGAGTTTCTACAATGTCTAGATACTTCATCAAAAGATGCAAAATCAAAAACATCTTCATTATAATCCGACATGTCTGAATTTTCATCTCCAGCCACAGTTACAATTAATTTTGGTTCATATTGTGATATAAAGTTAGGCTTTGAGGAAGGCATATCATCAGTTGTTTTAAAATTATCGAAATTCTTAATTTTACTTTGGATTGGATAAATCATATTCTTCCTAATTGTAACTTTACGTGTAATTAACAATTGCTTTTCTACGTCTTCAATAGAAAGATTTGAAAAAGGTATGCTTGCTTTAATTTTATCAAATATACAATACTTATCTACGCCACCTGGATGATCATTAACTAAGCTGATTATCCTGTTAATTACATGAGGTGGAATACAAATTCTTGCTACTGGTTTCCTTACAAATACAGACTTTTGAGCTTTTTGACCAGCTACTAAGTTAGACACATGTTTAGATTTGTCAGATGCAATACCTTTTACAATAATTGTATTGTTAATATTTTTTATTTGAACAGTTTCTGGCATACTCTTCAAAAAATCTAACAAAGAGACATGTCCTAATTCTCTCCATGGTATATTTTCACCCTCTAACTCATAATAATCATTATTTAACTGCCTTAGTGTACATCCTGATTTAGATGTAAGTGTTACTGCTAATATTGTAGTCTTAATATTTTCACGTTTTTGTGAGTGATGTAACATTTTATTCTTTTATTATGTTCGTATGTCGATTTACACCATTATTTACCCAATAGATTAACGGACTTAAAATAACATTTAATAATTTATGTCACATCATACTTTTTTTTTATCACTTTAATGCATAAACTTAAGTTACACTGCATAAATTTCAAATTCACAACGCGATAAGCATGCAGATTTTCTATAAAACTAACCTACCCGCGAATACGCAATAGTCAGCGAAATTTAAAACTCTTTGCGCATCTTTATGTGGCGCGCAAACTCTCGACTAATTATATAACGCGATATCACAATCGAAATTTAAAATCGTATTAAAAATTTTATATTTCTACACATAAAAAGCGATCAAACTTATATACATATATATAAAATGTAATTCCATATTTACTATAATACAGCACAATTATAATATTTACAATTTAATATATATTTTCAATTGTTTATATATGACGAGTTTATACAAAATCGTGTAATATAAACGACCTATACATAATACATACTACTTCATTTATATTTCTACAAAGCATCGTATAAAAAATATCTTTCAACGGAAATTATAAAATTGATTTTATTTTGATGCGTTTGATAAGGAATGAAACTTATTTGGAAGTCATGTTTATTGTTTTAAAACATCGTTTAAGAGTGACAAGAGATATATTTTTGTGTATATGTATATTTAAAACCCATGCTTTACAATAATCAAAATATTTTGCATTTGCGACATGTAAGTTGTTTTGCTCAAATTTGTAACAAATGTTTTCTAATAATAATGTTCTTAAAATTAATACACGTTGTCAGATATAATATATAGAAATTATTACGTAAATGAACGAAATATTGACGAGGACAAATGATAATGTAAAATATATAACTAAATTGAAAATTAATATTCGATCTGCATACATACTCGTATGTTGCTGTCGTTAAATAAGAATGATTTTATAAATGTATGTATATTAGAAAGAGTAACGCAGACGAAAGACTAACTGCATAAGAAAAAATGGAAGAAAGTGAAATGGACGCTCATGGAGTAGGATGAATTTTTTTAGATTAAGATAGACATAAGTTGTGGCAAGCGCGAGTACATGATATTGCGGAGCAAAATCTAAGCAAACGAGGACGTAAACCCGATTGGGGGAGAATTAACAAAGTTGAGAACTGAGAAGTGGGTTTAGAAGTAAGAGATCAAAAGAGAGAAGTGTTGTAGTGTGTAGTGTGTAACTTCAATTGCGCGAACGAGCAATATTAAAAGAACGATTGACCAGCAATCGATGGACGGATAGTTAGGGATCTTCTGTAATGCTCTATGTCGCTTGAAACCTTACGAGAACGTAAAATCGTATAGAGAAGTGTAAAACTAATTTCATTGACGGGGTGTAAAAAAATTGTTACGGGTAGCGCCCGCCCTCTGTTGCCAGAAAAGATGGCACCTTCGTGTTTCGAAGTGATCCTCGTTGGTTTCATCCTTGTATTACCATTCTTATACGAAATGAGCAGGACTTTTCGTTACTATTTCAAGTTTCTCCTCTACTATGGATACGTGATGATGAATTCAGTCACTTTACTCCCAGTTATGGTGTTACGACCGCGGAACGTAAAAAACTTTATGTTAGTAATTATATTAATTTTGAAAATATATACTTTCTTTCGTTCACTACCTTACAGCGTTTCATTTTCGTTTCGTTGTTTTAAGTACGTTTCATTATTCGTGTTTTCATTTTGATAGATTTTACTACAAGCAACATATTGTAAGGCAACTTTATTGAACGATGGTGGTGTTAATGTACGAGAAGCAATTCTGATACAGCGGTGGTAGTTGTTGAGTAACTCGCTATTCATTCGACAAATGTCGTGCATGTGTGCGCAAATTAAGAACGAATGTAAATTGTACAACCAATTCTTTTCTAAAATTACATTTAATAATTTTAAGAGTACGTGAATTTAAATTTTATTTCTAATCATTAAACATTCGAAGTTTATGTCACGTGATATGTCAAGTGTTTTATGTAACAGCGTTATCGAAGTTCAAACGTATGTACAAAGTATAAAAGAAAATGAAAATAAAAGAAATAGTCTTTCGTTGAAAACATTTGATTACTATAGTTTCTTAAAACGCATTTCTGAATAAAATAACATTTACTGTAATTTTATCGTAATTATACGATTTATTCTGTAAATATTGTTTATCATTCTTTCCTTTGTAATTTATTACTAGTACATTTTTATACAGTATACAGTAATTAATATTTCATTGCTGTAAAAAGAGAATAACAATTTGTAGAAATTGTGTATTATATTGTATAAGTTTAAAAATAGTTCACCACTTGTTAATAATTTTGTCGTTAATATATCAGAGTTTATCTTAATTGCACTCATCAGTTGCATCTTGTTAATTAAAAGTAACATATGAAATATAATTTTAGATTAGCATCATCTGTATGTTCCTGTCTCACAAACTTCTTGGGAGTACGTTGGGAATTAAGAGGAAGAGAACACTTAGAACAAGAAAGAGCATGTATAATAGTAGCAAATCATCAAAGTTCTTTAGATATAATGGGAATGTTCCAAATATGGCCTGTAATGGAAAAATGCACGGTTGTAGCAAAAAAAGAAATTTTTTATGCATGGCCCTTTGGTTTAGCTGCTTGGCTTTGTGGATTGATATTTATAGATAGAATGAATTCAGAGAAGGCCCATTCAGTTATTAATACTGCCACAAACCATATTAAAGATAAAAAGGTAATTTGATTTACATAATATAGAAATATAAAAGCAATTTTCATTAGTATTCATTAGTTCATTTTTGTATGTCTTCTATATAGATGAAACTATGGATATTTCCTGAAGGCACCAGACACAATACTGGTAAAATTCATCCATTTAAAAAGGGTGCCTTTCATGTTGCAATAACTTCTCAATTACCTATATTACCAGTTGTGTTTTCCTCTTATTATTTTTTGTCTTCAGAAGAAAAAAGATTTGACTCTGGTAAGTCTTGTGTATGTATAAACACACATTTATTTAAGTATAAATATTAAGAAAAAGTATTAACTGAATCTTGATAATCTAAAGGTCATGTTATTATTACATCATTACCACCAATATCTACAAAGGGATTAAATACAGATGATATTGAGCACTTAATGCAAAAGACACAAAGTCTTATGACAGAAGTTTTTCATGCAACTAGTCGTGAAGTACAATTTTCAAGTATTTCTGATACTTTTTAGAATAAAACAATCATTCCATGATAATTTGAGCAGAAATTTTATCATTTAAATCATGATTATTACTAAGTCTCAATTTATAAACCAAAGAATATTTTTCTATTTTTTATCTACTATTATTTCAGTAATTTTAGATGTTATACATAATGTGTTATCAAGTATTCATTGCATGTAGAAAATGTATACAAGGGAGTACATACTTAGATGCCATTATTTTAAGTTCATGTTTATATTTCTCCTTTATTACAGTTTCTATTTTAATTTTCTAATATGTATATATATACACACACACACACACACACACATTTGTACACATGGTGATTTTACCTTTTTATTTCCCTTTTACTTTTAAAAAATCTTTTAACTATTCATAATGATCCTTCATACAATAAATAAATGTAAAATGCAAAGCACCTTTATACAAAATTTATGAATTTTATACATGTATGAAAACATAAGTGTTAATTTTTTCTTAATTGAAAAAATAATAAGAAAAAGTCTTATTCTATAAAACAGCTTTTATAAAGATAGAGATATTTAGGTATGAATGATAATTTTTATTTTGTATTTGAATTGTGTATCCCATAAATTTAAATGCATTTTACAAAATTTGTAAGTATCAATGTCCATATGTAGGGACAGCCACTTGGGTATTAGGTTTGGAGTAAAGGAATCAATGAAAGAACTGAATAGTTCAACTGTATAGAGTAATTATACAACAAATGAAAAATCTTGGTCTAAATCTTGGTTCAAGAAATCATACAACTTATGTTTTTTCCCCCTTATATTAATTTTTTTAAATTATGTAAAATGCATTTTATTAATTATGTTTCATATATTTTTTCGCATGCTTCCACTCATATACAGAAGAATGCAAGATTGATAAGTTTTAGTTAAGTAAACCTATTTTGATGTATGAGTGGTTCCATTTCTTTATATTTCTACATCTTTGGTAAAAGTATCATATATTGTTATTAATTTAAAAAATTTCAATTTTAAATCCTGTGCTATAATTATAAAAGAATGTTTCATTGGTCATAAAAACGTATAGTAATTATAAAACTAAACAATAAATGCGACATTGAAAAGATGTCTTCAGTTACCATTGTATGAATATTCGCACACTGTGATATAATTTTTACTTGCAATTAAATATCCTTTTAAATATTAATTATATTGATATGTAAAATTGGAACTATTAATGCTGGCTACATAGTTTTTTGGTTAAAATTACTATTTCTATAATTAATAAGCCATTAAATTGAGATTCGTTAATAGTACCAATAATCCTTGATAAAATAAATTGTATTCAATTTTTATGATTTTAAATTGAAAGTATTATGTAATGAGATTGTTTATAAGTTTACAATATTGTGGTTTTACTGTTAAGAATATGTGTGTATAGAAGTTAACAAAAATATTAGTTCAAAATATAAGAGTGAATAAGATAGGCACATATCTTCTTTTTTTTTTTTAAATCCATACTCTACATGCCAAGGAAACATTAACATTTACAGATTTCATTTTAAGTAAGAAGTTATATATATAAAGTGCAGACCAACTTGTTAAGTGCAAATTACACGCTTTAAACAATATGTTTTTTGTTACAATATCTATATTAATTACATATCTTCATACATATATGCTGTACAGTTTTTAAGTGCCATTTTTATAAGTAATAAACTAATTTTATTACTTCACCATCTTCATAATTTCTTTTTACCTCACATTATTATAATTCAGTTTGTACTATTAATGAATGAAAATGAGAAATTATACAACTACTTCATCTTTCAAAAATTATACTATTATGTTACAATGGTATATGCTTCTTTGTATTGTAATTATTGTGTTACTATTAAGGAAATTTATTATCTATTATCAATGTGAAAATAATCAACTAGTGTTGCTCAAAAATTTGTTACATATTCTTTATTGTAAGCAACTTTAATTAGTAATATACACTAGAAAA